CTCTGCCGCTTGCCAGCTACGCCTCGGCCGGCGCAGGGGGCGGAACCACGCATGCGCAGCGCTCCTGGGCAGGGAAAGTCCTCGACTTACGACCGGTTGGGTAGTCCTCGACTTACGACTGGTTTAGTCCTCGACTTACGACCGGTTTAGTCCTCGACGTACGACCGGTTGGGGTCGCGACATTAAAAAGGTTGAGAACCACTGCTCTAAAGTCTGATAAGGGATGTGATCTCAAGATTTAGATAAACAAAAAATTCTTTGTTTTATAAATTTTATTAAAAATTCTAAGAACATAAAAATTAACATAAACTGTTACAGAATAAATAAAACAAAAAGGCAAAAGATAGTGCGAAAAAAAAAAAAAAAATAGAAAGGATTTCTGAGTTCCTTTGCAGCAAATAAAAATATGCTTGCAAACTTATCTCTTACTCTATAATTATCAAAAAACTTTTTTCTATTATATTTTTTCTAATCATAAGTGCATTTTTTCTGTTTCAGGCAAAAAGTCTGCAAGGGTTTCCATAAATGTAGATAATGTCTTTTCTCTAATCAAAGAGGTCAATTTAGCCATCTCTACACATTCCATCATCTTCACTAACCATTCTTCTGTTGTCGTGTAGAACTTTTCCATTTTTAAAAAATATATTTTATTGATTTTTTTAACATAATCACCTTAATATTTGGTAAACAGCTTGTCGTCTGGGTTTATATTTAAAAAACAATCAATAACAATTAGTTTCTATAATTCTGTAGTCCATATAGTAGCTTTGCTTGATTTTCCAATAATATTCTCTTGCATTAATGCAATTCTTATTATTTTGATAAGTAACAATTAAATATAGACATTTTTCTAATATTTCTGCAAATAATAACCACATCAATATAAAGCTTCTTTTCTAACTGGTCATCCCTCGTCATAGATCCTGTTTACAAAATTCTTGTTTACGTTTGTTTTCCCCGCAATGTTCAAAACATTCTTACCAGTTGAGATTTTCTCAAAGTTAATTACACTTAAGTATTTAAGTCTTTTTCCTCATACAGGCCATCCCAACACTTTTACCTTTCTCATGTCTTAAAAACAACAATAACAACAATAAAAAAGAGAAGAAAAAGAAATAAAAAGATAGTATACTACTTAAAATACACGTCCCTCTTAGGCTAATGTACATTTATATCCAGAATTTTTCTCTTCTTTTTCCATTTTTGAATAGTAGTAATCTTACTGCGGTCATATACTAAAACAAAGCTTCATGGTGGTTGGCTATTCATTTAATCCTAAAAGAAAAGTCTTTGGTATTCAATTCTGCACTAGTCTTTAAAATCTTCCAAATTATTTTATTCATCAGTTCTTTTTGATCTTTTATCTTCATATATTTTGTTAACATCTTTGTCTTCTGTTTTTTAACCTTGAAACCTTCCAGTGCCACAAATTCTTTTAATTTACTTATTAAAGTTCAATTCCCTTTAAAGTGTCTGCCAGAACAAAAACCAAATCCGCTAAACAGAAGATTCTCAGTGTTGTATTATCTACCTGAATATTTATTTCTTGTGTGATCCCTGTTCACAAAAAGTTATGTTATAATATATTCATCACTTGAATATATTTTAGTAGAGTCACATCAGTGTCTTTGGAATGTATCAGTTTGTCAAAACAGGACAAAATCAGACAATTTTTTAAAATATGTATATAGAGATCATCAAAATCTAACATCCAAATCTCAAAACGTAATGCAAATTGTTAACACTCTCAATATTTAATAGACACGAGAATGTAATGGTAGTTGTAAGAGAACTTTAAGGCTTTTTGGAAGCAAAATCAATTAGCCAACTATAAATGTTCACCATTCATTTAAAAAAAACTTTATGTAATTGTTATTTTTCACATATTTTTATTTTGTACTGAGAATTATGTGGTTCTATACTTGTTAAATTTCAATTGTTTCTTTATTGCTTTGGTCTTTATATGTTAAGGTATATATCTTAAAATATTGATATGGAATTGGTAATAAATTTAAATTATTGTGATGGTACACTTATTTGCATAGTCAAGGCTCAATAGTTCAAATATAAGTTATTCAGTTAACAAAATATATGAACAATTATTTTGAAAAAATATTTTTAATTGACAGAGATAGATTTCTATTAAGATGTTATGATTATATTTTTGTCTGGTGCCATTCATTTAGCTAGAACTGATCCTATCCTGTTTGCTGCCATGATGCAGTTTCAGTATGAGTTGAAAAACAATTAAAAAGAGATTTCTCTATTAGTTTTGCCACATTTGTGTCAACTCTGTTCATTTTGATTTAAATATTTCTTAATTGCCCTGCATTCTTGCACATTAAGGCAATGTAGGCAAGTACACAATACATACATAGTCAAATAAAAATATCTAAGCTTCATTCCCACGAAACCAAAGCACGCATTTAGACAAAGTAATTCTTGCAGGATAATGTAATGAGGGTGGAGACTGCTTTGCTTAATTGCTGCCTATATTGCTCCTATAAAAATAATCAATGAAATGATCTAATTTAATTAGTGTTGGACAAAGTGGTGCTTGCTCTGAATTAATGAATACAAATCTAATTTTGATCCCTGGGGTTATCCGCCACCACTTTAATTGATGCTCCACTCACATATCAAATCAACAGTTTCTTTCCTTTTCTAGGAATGCATCTTTGTAGAACTGTTTTCAATCTGGGCAACTTTAAGATGTGTCACTTCAACATCCATTGGCTGGGGAATTCTGAGAGTTGAAGTCACACCTTAAAATTGCAGAAACACTGCTCTACATCACAATGCTAATGTACTTTCTTCCTCAAGGTGGAGTAGGTTGGTACAAAAATTGTACGTTGGTGCACTACCATCACAACCTTGGCAACAAAGCCACTATGTGTTATTGCCTGTACATTAGATACAGTACATACATAACAAACATACATATTTGTATAACCTTCATGTCAATATTGATTCCTAACGACTGAACAAGATCCTGTAGTTTTCTTGGCCAGGTATTTTGCCTCCTTTCTAGGACTGGGAGAGAAGAGACTGGCCCAAGTCACCCAGCTGGCTTTGTGCCTAAGGTGGGATTAGAACTCATAATATAACAGAATAACAGAGTAACAGAATAACAGATTTGGAAGGGACCTTAGAGGTCTTTTAATCCAATCCCCTGCTCAGGCAGGAAACCCTATACCAGGAGTGTCAAACTGCCAGCTCGCAGGCCAGACGTGTTACACAGAAGCCGCACCCACCCCATTGCCGGCAATGGCAAAACAGTCCCAATATGTCGCACGAGGTCACAAGTTTGACATGTCTGCCCTATACAATTTCAGACAAATGGTTGTCCAATCTCTTCTTAAAAACTTCCAGTTTTGGAGTATTCACAATTTCTGGAGGCAAGTCGTTCCGCAGGTTAATTGTTCTAAATGTCAGGAAATTTCTCCTTAGTTCTAGGTTGCTTCTCTCCTTGATTAGTTTCCATCCATTGTTTTTTGTCCTTCAGAGCGTTGGAGGATAGGTTGATTCTCTCTTCTTTGTGGCAACCCCTTAGATATTGGAACACTGCTATCACGTCATCCTTAGTCCTTCTTTTCATTAAACTAGAAATACCCAATTCCTACAACCATTCTTTGTTTTAGCCTCCAGTCCCCTAATCATCTTTGTTGCTCATCTTCCAGTTCCTTGCCTGGTACATTAACCAGTACACCAAACTTGCTCTGGTGTACTCCTTAACACATTTTAAGATTGCTGAGGTTGATAAACATTTGTAGAGTAATCCAGTCCAGGGGTCTCCAACCCCTGGTCTGTGGACCGGTACCGGGCTGCGGCATGCCAGCAACCAGTCTGCACAAACAAGCAAAGCCCCATCCGTGGGATACTGGCAGCATACAAAACCACACACTCTCCGGTCCATGGAAAAACCTTTTTCTACACGAATAAATGTGCAAAGGTTAAAAGTGGAAAATGTGTGTATAATAATGTAGGAAGGAAGAAAAATGCAAATAAGAAATAATGGGGCAAAAAGGACAAATATTCTAAAGAAGAATAAGGGAGGAAAATGTAAATAATAGATTACTGTTACGAAATTGCTCTAAAAAAGGGAGGAATATATACTGTATGTGTGTTATGTTTTGTTTTGTTGTTTTAAAAAATAAAAATATTAAAAAAAAAAACACCTTTCTCTACAGAACCGGACTCTGGTGCCCAAAAGGTTGGGGACCTCTGACCCAGTCCATTCTTCACATAAATCAGTATATTTCAAACCTAACAAAATTTAAAATGTGTGACTATCTTAAAATGCTAGAATTCCTACTGGCTGGGAATTCAAGTCATTAGCAGCATTGGTGGCTGGGAATTCTGGGAGTTGGAAGTTCACAGACCTTAACGCCAAGTCTGAAAAACATTAAAATAGAGCAGTGTTTCTCAACCTTGACAATTTTATGGCATGTGGACTTCAACTCCCAGAATTCCACAGCCAGCATTGCTGGCTGTGGAATTCTGGGAGTTGAAGTCCACATGCCTTAAAATTGTCAAGGTTGAGAAATACTGAAATAGAGTGTCTGGGTTTACACTTCAGTGACATTTGAAAACCTCTTAAGAAGCGGCAAGACTGAGAAACCGTAACCATGGGGAAAGAGAAGCCAATAGGCCAGCTTGCCAAGGAAACAGAGATTGGGGGAATTAGCGCCCCTTTATGACTTGTGGACTTCAACTCCCAGAATCCCTAAGCCAGGCATGCTGGCTCAGGAATTCAGGGAGTTGAAGTCCACAGGTCATAAAAGGGCCATAGTTCCCCACTCCTGCAAGAAAGGAATCAAAAGAGAGCAAGAGAACAACGGAGAAGGAGGGGAAGGAAAGGACTTGAAGCAGAAGCTCAGTAGCAACGCGCCTCTCCGCCCTTCCCTTCCATGCCTCCCTCTCGCTTGTCAAAAGCCTCTTCCGGAATACTTCCGTGTCCGTCACGTGACAGAAGCAGGAAGCTCGGCTTGGATGGAGAAGGCGGGACTTTAGAGCCCCGGAGTGACTGAGCTTCGCGGGAGCGGCGAAGGCTGGAGGATAGATCCGTCCGGCCGCGGAGTAAGAAGGGGAGACGGGCGGGGGGGAACCGAGCGGTCGGTAACGCGCTGCTTCCTCCGGCGTTTTTCTCTCTTCCTGTGTTCCCCGCTTCTTCTTCTTAAGGGCCGCCGGATCTGGGCTCCAAACCTCCGGGCGGCCGCTTTGATGGAGCACGAATCATCTGTCAAGGGAAAAGCTTTGCTCTTTGCCGCCCCCTGGTGGTTGTCCGGAGTTTTGGCCCCCGCGTCCGGTGGCCCTGGGCTTCGCTTGCAGGGTCTTTATCCACTGGGCTGCTGTCAAAATCTGGCTGGGTTTCTCCATCTTTCATCTCCTAGACCAGTGTTTCTCAACCTTGACAATTTTAAGGCATGTGGACTTCAATTCCCAGAATTCCACAGCCAGCAATGCTGGCTGTGGAATTCTGGGAGTTGAAGTCCACATGCCTTAAAATTATCAAGGTTGAGAAACACTGTCCTAGACCAGGGGTCTTCATACTTGGCCCTTGTATGACTTGTGGACTTCAAGTCCCAGAATTCCTCAGCCAGCGTGCCTGGCTGAGGAATTCTGGGACTTGAAGTCCACAAGTCATACAAGGGCCAAGTTTGAAGACCCCTGTCTTAAATCTAACAAACAAAATGGAGGCTGGCTGTGGAATTCTGGGAGTTGAAGTCCACATGCCTTAAAATTATCAAGGTTGAGAAACACTGTCCTAGACCAGGGGTCTTCATACTTGGCCCTTGTATGACTTGGGGACTTCAACTCCCAGAATTCCTCAGCCAGCGTGCCTGGCTGAGGAATTCTGGGACTTGAAGTCCACAAGTCATACAAGGGCCAAGTTTGAAGACCCCTGTCTTAAATCTAACAAACAAAATGGAGGCTGGCTGAGGAATTCTGGGAGTTGAAGTCCACAAGTCATAAAAGGGCCAAGTTTGAAGACCCCCTGGCCTAGACTCTCTCTTTTTTGGCCCGTATTCTTCATGGAAAGGGACGAGAAAGGAAAAGTGATCGTTGTTGTTGTTGTTTTCCATAAGTGGAATATAAATCATGACTCAGTTTTCAGGGAGAAGCAGCAGTGCCAAATAGGGTACAAATTGACAGCGTATTCACAGTGCGTGGTTAAACTCGTTGATGGATTGTCCAGAGTGGCTGGGAGCTGGGCAGCATATACATTTAATAAATTATTATTATTAATTGCCCCGTTTTGGGATTCGGACCATGTATCCTGACTGGATGAATTGAATTCACACAATATAAGCCCCCTTTTTCATGGTGGACCTTAATAAGGCTTACCATATTTTGCAAATTCTGCTGCTATTTTATTTATTTTTATTTTCTAATTAAATTTTTATGTCACCCTCTCTCCTACAAGGTGATCCTGCTATATCTTTTATTGACCAAGTGGAACACTTTAACCACATTGTTTTCTAAAGATACATTGGTGTCAGGGTTTGTCTCCTCCTCTTCCTCCTCCTCCTGTATTAAACTTACATGCTGCCTCAGTCTCTAAATAATTCCTTGCAAAAGTATTCCTTATTTCAAGATTTTATGCCCAAGGTAGCTCATACAATGTCAGGAGATATTAATGTGTTCCCAAACACCCTCTTTGGTGACACCTGGCTCTTTTTGTCCTACTAGGCTTTTAAAAAAGATTTTTAATTTCAAAACAAAATTGAAAGCTGGCACATTACATAGACCCTGTAATGTAAATGTAATGTAAAGCAGCAGTCTGTAATGCCTTATTTTTTACAGAAATGTTTTGGAATCCAGAAAATTCCCTGTAAGCAATGTAGAATGATAGGTAGGGTAGGGTAGGGTAGGGTAGGGTAGGGTAGATAGATAGATAGATAGATAGATAGATAGATAGATAGATAGATAGATAGATAGATAGATAGATAGATAGATAGATAGATAGATAGATAGATAACCTTTATTGTCATTTTTTACTGTGGACACATTGGCATACATTAAAAATGAAATTTAGTTGCTTGCTCTCAAAAGTGTATTCATACATAACACACATTTAAACATGCTATGTACAACATATGCATAAACGTTCACTCTTACATATAAATACTATATAAATATTAATCCCTGTCCATCATGAATACATAAATAAGATGGAACATTTCATGTACATTTGAGTAAACTGATGTTTTGTGATGTGCCATGCTCTCTATGACAGCTCTTTTGCAATAGGCAAGTTGCTCCTGGCAGATATTAATGGCTGTGCCCATCAAGCTCAAAACAATTGCCTGCCCCTGCTTTTTGGGCCCATTAAATGAAAGTGCTGCATGACCTGTGTGATTCTTGTTTTAGATCTTCATATACATTTTGTACTTTCCAGTTTTGTTCAGATATAGCAACATTTCATACTTTAAATGCTCACATAACTCTTTAATAATTTAGTGATTGATTTAGTTTTAATTGCTTTGTTAAGTGGTCTGGGATTGATATAAAATGCCACTTTTGTAATATGTGTGAGTTTAAGATAAGGCACATTTATTATTGCAGTTATGCCAAAGGTGCTTTTTCATGAGGCAACTGGACTTTCTTGTTTTTCTTTGAAGACGTTTCGTTTCTCAAGAAGCTTCTTCAGCTCTGACTGGATGGTGGGGATAAATCACCTTTGAAAAAAGGAAAAAGCACCTTTGGGATAACTATGACCTGGATGGCTGAAAATCTCCATAGACATATTGCTGTTATGTCAAACATGGTTTTGATTCATTGATTTTAAATGCATCATTGTCTAAATACTATCAAAGTGCTGTAATGAGCTAGTGTGAAAATAGAAAACAATATTTGTTATAAACCTTTATTTAAAATGCATTTTATCTCCAAGAATAAATATGAAAAAATAGTGTTATCCATTTAGTAGCGCAGATCTTTTGTATATCTGAATAACACAGTGCAAATTTGTGAGTTATTTCTGTAGTCGCACTGCTTTTATTATATTTGTTTATGGGCCACACTTGGTACAGAGTTGGAGGAACTAGGAATGGTCCTGATGAGGCATACAATAACTTTACCCTCTTTCTTACAGCTTGGAGAAAATGACGGCCATCAAGCATGCCTTACAGAGAGATATTTTTACTCCAAATGATGAGCGTTTACTGAGCATTGTTAATGTTTGCAAAGCAGGCAAAAAAAAGAGAAACTGTTTCTTATGTGCTACAGGTATGCAGAGTTTAAATAGCAGGGAAAAATTGTCTTTGGTTCATTGGATTGTGATGTACGATGGGATAACTTAATTTAGGAATGACGTTTTGTTTATTACCATCTACGCTCCATGTGTAGTGTAAAAAAATGATTACATGCTATATACATTGGTGGCACCAAATAAAACAAAACAGCTTGATTTTTTTTTTAGAAGAAGCCGTTATACGTTTTTTACATATTACCCCCAAAAGATTTTGCTACAAAGCTTTAGATCTTATGATCAATGACTAAAAGATATCTCAGGGGAAATTTCCAAAAGCTGGTGCATCTGTCTCTATTAATGATAGAAAGTATCTCATATAAAAAAATTATCTAGTAGTTCATAGCTGAATTCACAAACATGCAGAAGATAATGTTTTGAGGCCAGTTATATGTTGTGAGCACCCAGCCACAGTTTTACTTGCATGGAGTTGGTGTACTGATTATCTGCCATCGACTTGTCAACTCTTAATTTGCTCCCATTCCAGAGAAAGCTTCAACTGTTTTGTAGTTAGAGGTTTTAGATTATTTATTTCTTCATGTTTTGGGGTTAAAACAGTCTGGTGGTTCACACTGCGATCACGTTTGTTCTCATTGTTAGTTTTGAATGGATGATTATGAAATATTTGTTAATCTGAGGATGTTTCAGAGGGGCTCTTGCTTGATTTAATCCTCAGAGTAATTTTTCTCTCTTGTCTATTATGAATTACTTTCTACGCATTCTGGAAGGTTTACATTTTCTTTAAAGCAAATTGGGGAGAGTAGGTATTTAAGTGCTGATTCACCCCCCCAAAATATATTTGTGGGGAAATGTGTATTTTCTTGAGAGCTTAACCATCTGTTGTCCTTAACAGTGACAACTGAACGCCCAGTGCAGGTGAAGGTGATCAAGGTGAAAAAATCTGATAAAGGTGATTTCTACAAGAGGCAGATTGCATGGGAGCTTCGAGATCTCACTGTTGTTGATGCCAAGGATGCCATCAAAGTAAGTCTAAAATACAGTGATCCATCTTCACTGTACAAAGCATAAATAGATGTTTCTTCTGAGTAAATTGTTATGCTTTTATTATTCAGTGATCATTGGAAATCAGGGTTACTGTTGTTTTGCATACTTACCTGGGAACGTGTCTAGGCAATATTTTGTCAGCTTCCACCTTATCCTTACTTGTGCTTCACTGCTTTGTTGTTGTTAGTTGCGAAGTCGTGTCCGACCCATCGCGACCCATGGACAACGTTCCTCCAGGCCTTCCTGTCCTCTACCATCTTCTGGAGTCCATTTAAGCTCACTGCTATGCGGTGACAATCTGCCATGAACTGTAGGGAGGGGGAATGGAGGACGGGGGGAATGCTTGGGGAAATGAAAGTAAATATGGTATCTCCTGGAGATGTTGCCTCAAGGTCACCCAGCTGGAGGAAAGAGGAAGCTGCATACCAAAGTATGCTTGGAGTGACCATTGTGGCAACAACTTCTCTGAACCTGATTGGTTACACAGGGTGGGCATTGAGAGACAGCTAAGGACAGGAAAAGTTGAATTTACGGATTTTGGCACTTGATTCTCAAGTTCTGACTTTGTATTACTGCGATACACTTGACTTCTAATAAAACTATATCTTTCTCAACTGATGGAGCCAAGGATCTTTTCTACTTACAGGCTTAAATTGTGGCAGGTCTGACATATTTACTTATATGGAAGTGTGTTTAGGGCAGGGGTAGGCAACCTTGGCTCTTTTATGACTTGTGGACTTCAACTCCCAGAATTCCCGAGCCAGCCATGCTGAGGGAAAAGGAAGAGGTTTCCAAGCTGAGCCATGGTGGCTCAGGAATTCTGGGAGTTGAAGTCGTCATAAAAGAGCCAAGGTTGTCTACCCCTGGTTTAGGGCCAGGCTGCACCCTTAATTTCTAGAGAAAACTATGCTTAGGGGCCCTTTTGCTTGGTAGTCTGGCCCGTGTCATCTTTAAACGTGTCTGCAAATTTGTTATTTAAGAAGACAGTGTGATAGTTGACATTTCTGTCATCTCTGTTTTTCAGGAAAGTTCTGAGTTTGATCTGCATTTTGAAAAAGTATACAAATGGGTTGCTAGCAGCATAGCAGAAAAGAATACTTTTATTTCATGTATTTGGAAACTCAATCAGCGGTATATTAGGAAGAAGATTGACTTCATCAATGTTAGTTCACAGCTTCTGGAAGGTAAATGTTTTAGCTGAATCCTTGCTACGCTGTCTCTAAATTTAGTATGTGTCTAAGCAATTAGAAAATTCATATTGTCAGTGCTGTTTTTCTTATCTCTAATATAAGTAGCTTCCTTGACTTTCAAATGTGTTTCAACTTGAATCTGATCCTGTAGTCAGAACATAAAATAATTTCAGTGGAAGTTACATCCTTTGTCACTTTCACAATTTTCAAACTTTATTCATTTGGTATAACAAATGGATCTCTGAATTATGGATCTATGAAAGTAAATTTCCCCAAACTGTCTACTCTTAGCCGGACCCAGCCTCAATCTTAAACAGGATCCTTCCTGTTCAAGTTCACTTCTATCAGGGAATGAACCTCTACTATTTTCACATAAACCATCTGCCCCTTAATTATGACTTTAATGTGGACCTGTGCATATAACTTTTAGATCCTAAAATTATATATGAAGCCTTTTTTTCCAGTGTATCCTATTGTAAGGAAATCCTACTTCTATACTCAGTATGAGTTGTGTCTTTTATGTCTTGGGAATTTGGTCATGATGCCACCTATGTAAGATCTAAATCAAACCCATGGTGTAGACATGCTCTGCTGGTAGGCTTGGAAGATTTTTGGCAAATTAAATACAGCGCTTATAACAACTTATCAGATCTGCTTTGTAATACACCCAGGTTGGCAGGCTTAACCTGTTTGCTCTCACCAAAACTGAACACAATTTTATTATAGTGAGGGTAGTCTTAATTACTAAACGTCTAAGCTGGTATAATCTTAAAACTTCATAATAATTCATCTGATCTTCCAGGAATTGCATAGTTGGAAAGAAATCTGCTTTGTAATTTGTTTAAAGTTCTAAGTTTTCAAAATTTTGTAACAGAGACAAATTGTTGCTGTTTTGATGGAAAAAAATTGTGTTCATTGACTGCTTAGCTAATATTCTTTGCTTCTTCTCCTCTGCTTTTCTCATACTTTCAATTCTCCAGAACTACCTAAAGTCACTGAAGGTGCGTAACACCTTTTCCTTCCGTGTTTCTTTTTTTCTGTGTAACTAATTCAGTTGCTTTTGCTGTAAAATTGTGTATAGCACTTCATTAAGCAAAGTATTTAATTCAGGTTTTTGCCAGAAATGCACTGCAAATTCAGATCAAAATATTGCTCAGAAGCTTTTAAACAATGAGCAGTTGAATTTAAATATGAAGATAGAGTGCAAAACTTAATAATTTAAACAATATTTTATGAGAATTTTCAGAATCTGCTTTTTCAGCACAATTCAATACAATGTTGAATTAACTTTTTGTGTAAGTTAAGGCTTAAGTTTTTGGTTGAAAGTTTGGTTAACCAGTAAATAAGTATTTGATTCTTTGTTCATCCAAAGTAGTGGTTGCTTGAAACTCAATATTTTGCTCGCAATCTCTAATCAGGCCACTTTTGTCATGTACCTAGGAAATAAATTGGTGCTACAAGCATCTTAGATGATTTGTTAGTGTGCCTTAAATATATTCTACCTACATCCTACACTTAAGTTACTATATTAAACCAGAGCACACAAACTGGGGAATAAATTCTATAAAACTGACTTAAGTTTAGTTTTGATTAGACTTGCCTAGAATGGATAGACATAGACACATAGACATAGACAGACAATCAGACACAACAGAGAGAGAGACAGAGACAGAGAGACAGAGAGAGACAAGAGATAGAGATAGAAATGAGATCTAGCATGTTATATTATTGGCTAAAGTTAAAAACAGAGAGACCCTGGTTCTCATTCTGCCTTAGGCATGGAAGCCACCAAGTAATTTTTTGGGCCAGTCACCCAGACCTAGATTAGGAAGTAAAAAGCATTGGACCAGCATGGTAGTTTGTGGCTAATAAAATTTAGCTATGAGTGGAAAGTATTTTAGGAACATTTTGACATTCAGATGGTCCTCTTTTGGGATATTTTTATAAAGTCAAAAAAGGCAGCAGAACACTCCTAATGAGTTTGGAATAGCTCTTGCAAATTCAACATTATGCACACTTTGGTTAATTTTGCTGAAGAAACAGATATATTGTTGGCATTCGTTATTGAATGTGGAATTCTGTTTACCAAACTTAATGGCTTTGGATTACTTTATCTTTTGTTGCCTTTTAGAGAATGGCAGCAAAAATGAGGAAGATTTTAATTGGATCTTGAGATCATGTCATATTCCACATGTATTTATGCAATTATGCTTCTAATGTTAGAAAAAGCTTATACTGAAGTGTGCTGCTGGTGAAGCTAATCGTGGAATAATTTTAAAAAAAATGCTCAATTTGCTGAATTATTGCCAGTCCAATACTGCATGTAATACATCACCCAAAGTATACTAAGACTATTTGTCTTTATGATAAAATTTATACAGTATAGCCTGTAAGGCACAAATGAAGACAGAGCAGCATTTGGAGAATCTTGGAAATAGGCATAAATCATACACTAAGTTATATTTTGCATTTCTAACATGTACTTTCTTCAGCAGCAGTGGTAGTGATAGCACAATTTCTCTTATGAAATCCACTTTCTTCTCTTTCTCTGTCTTTCTCTCTCCATACATGCTCCCAATGGAGTAGTTATTTGTTTTATAGTGCCTTAAATAAAAGTTGCTGTTGAACAAATAAATCGCTTATTTCCATAAATAAGCTCAGAAATAAACTAACATGTATTCTACGTTCAGATGTGGTGTAAGGAACTTAAAATATGGCTGAAATATATTTCCCTGAAGTCTTTTTCAGTCTGGGAAACAGAGAAATATTAGAAATTGTGGTTTAGTAATATCCAGAGTGCCACTGGTTTCTCAGTCATTACTTAAATGAATGGGCTGAAAGCAACCACACCAGTTCTAATATACGATTTAAACTAGGCTAAGCCTAGCTCACTTCTTTAAAATTGAGCACGATATAATTGCAGAACAATGTGCTTACTTGCTAAAATAACAAGTCGCATGGAAAGCATCTGCATATATGATAAAACTCTAAGGAGAGCATTTACAGATAGTCCTTGGCTTACAATAATTGAGCCTGCGATTTCATTCATAAGTTGTGACATCAACTTCTGCAGCGGTCCATAAGCGAACCCATTGTTCGCTATGTTGGTTTTTACTGTAAGCTAGAAGTAAACGCCAGTTTCCAGCAAAAAATGTCGTAAATCAGAGTCATGTGACTGACGGGCACTGCAAACAGCCGTAAACGCGTGCTGGTTGCCAAGCACTCAAAATGTGGTGACCACAGGTGTGTGTGTATGTGGGACAGATGTTGGAACTTTGAATCTGGGTCGTAAGTCCCTTTTTAAGAGTCTATCTTTGAACGGTCTCTAAGCGATCAATTGTAAGTCAAGGACTATCTGTACAAGGGGAGAAACCGTGTAATGAGATAGAAAAGCAAGAGTGATACATAACAGAATCAACTTTAATAAATGAAAGCTAGAAGCTTACATTTCAACGCTTCTGGATCTTTTCTAAAAGTGACAGTGTGAAAACTGGAATAACAAATGCAAACTTGGAGGAGCAGTAAATCTGGAAGTTGCCAAGCTTTTCAACCTTGGCAACTTTGAGACATGTGGACTTCAACTCCCAGAATTCCCCAATCAGAGTTCCACCAGCAGGCATTCTCAGACATAAATAACCCTCCATAGTTCTCACAAAGATGTTACACAAATAGTAACAGAACCTTGCAAGTCCGTATGCAAGACCCTTCACCCCTTTATCTTTGGGAGAACTAAGGAGGGCCAAGCTGAGAGTTTTTCCCTAAAGAGACTGATGTATACAGTATGTTTCAGAGAGTTGAATAAAAAGTACAGTATAAATGAGTAATTTATCCATACTGACTCATACTGAAAGCTAGATTTAACTTTGTGTCTGAAAGATTGTTACTAAAGACAGGGTATATCAAGAAGAAGCAGGAATTATAAGGCATTATTTTGGGGCCTAATTTTACCTCAGTACTAAATTTGAACTAAAAACAGGATAGCTTCTGTTGGCTATTATTCTTCCTTAATTATGAGAAGTATTCATTTATGAGCTGTATTTTAATAATATGCAGATTAAAATACCTGTCTGAAAAAAGGCACTGCAGAGAAATGCCCTTTTGTTATTGTCACTGGATGTTGCTATGCATCCTTCTTACTACTTTTATTTTTTCTAATGTAAATGGTTGCCGACATTATCACTTTAAATACTGATATTGTACCAACTAAAGGAAATATCACAGATTTTTAAAAACTTTTTCCATCATAGTTAATATCTATTTTTCTCTTGCTGAAACAAGAAAAATAGATATTTTTTATAATTTGGTTAAAAAATCATGGAGCAACGTAGATTTTCAACGTGGATGAAGTTAAGCCGAATATCTTTATGCTACGTGATGTTAGATTAAAGAACATTAATGTTTCCTAGCTATTTGACTGACAGTGAGGCTTATATGGGCATTTCCCCTTTTTTTAGAGCAGGGGTCCCTAATCCCCGGCCCGTGGACCGGTAGCGGGCCGAGCCATGCCAGCAACCGGTCCGCACAAACAAGCAAAGCCCCATCTGTGGGATGCAGGCAGCACACAACCACACACTCTCCGGTCTGTGGAAAACCCTTGCTCCACGGAACCGGTCCCTGGTGCCCAAAAGGTTGGGGATCTCTGTCTTAGAGAATTAGAATTAACTAGTATGATTTAAATGCCCTGTGCAAGTGTATCCAATTTTTCATGAATTATGACCATCTCTTTCCCCTCCTCTTTAGAATCGGTTCCCAGTGGTGAAAATCAGAATGTGGCAGGAACAGATGAAGAGGCTGTGGATGAATACCAAGAATTAAATGCTAGAGAAGAGCAGGATATTGAAATCATGATGGAAGGCTGTGAATATGCTATCTCTAATGCAGAAGCCTTTGCAGATAAGCTGTCCAGAGAGCTACAGGTTCTTGATGGGGTAAGGCTGCCTATTCCTGTATTGATGTATTCACTGACTGTATTCACAAGCAGTCAGTGAAAAATTCACTTGCTGGATTAGACAGAAGCTGCATTGGGATTCAGATAAAGCAGTGGTTCTCAACCTTTTTAATGCCGCGACCCCCAACCGGTCGTAAGTCGAGGACTAAACCGGTCGTAAGTCGAGGACTAAACCGGTCGTAAGTCGAGGACTACCCAACCGGTCATACGTCGAGGGCTTTCCCTGCCCGGGAGCGCCACGCATGCGTGGTTCCGCCCCCTGCGCCGGCCGAGACGTAGCTGGCAAGCGGCAGAGACGGAGCAGGCCGACCACCAGCTGGCCCAGCCCAAGGGAGGTAAGGCACCCGCCGGAAAAGGGGAAAAAAATGGCGGACAGCCTTGCTTGGCGACCCCCGTGAAATGGTCGATCGACCCCAAATGGGGTCGTGACCCATAGGTTGAGAACCGCTGAGATAAAGATTTATTTTATTTTTTTACTCATTCTTAAATTTAAAGGGAGTAATGCTTTGTTGACAGAATTCATTTTGGTCTCTACTTCTGGAATGTATTGTTGTTGTTTTTTCTTTTGAGTTATAAATTTGCTATGACAGAAATAGAGATTGTCCTGAAGTTATGATCATAACAAGCATGCTCGTTACGGTTGTAAATTGTAAGAGTTGTACATCGGGCCACCCACGACAATAACCTGATATTACAATGTTTTTGCAGTGGTTGTTAAATGAATGTTGCAGTCATTAAACCGATGGCTCTCTATGGACCGTTGTAAAATGTGGTCCCATGACCACAAGATGCTGCAAGCAGCTGTAAAAGTGAGCTGATTATTGAGTGCCCAAAGCGCAGTCACATAATTTGGGGGGGAGCGGGGGCGGCCACTGAAACTCCGAATCCAGGTTCTAAGTACTCCTACAGAAATCCATTGTAACTTCAAACATTTGCCAAGGAACTGGTTATAAATGGGGGACTACTTGTAGTTTTAGTCATATTTCAGAAAGCTAATTCAAATTTCCATTGAATCACTAATGGCATCTCAAGAATGTATGTTAATTTAGTATCATGGTGGACTGGTGCTCCTATTGAGTTCAGTATCAGGGTAAAACGTTTATTTATACCGCTTCTCTTCTCTGCTCTTACCTGCTCCTTACCTGCAATATGAAATACTGAAAGCTGCATATATACTGTAGTTTGTCCAAGCAGCACTGTCTGATTAGTTTGTATTTAACACGCGGCGCGTTTATCAAAGAGGTAAATGATTGCTTTTATATTGTGTTTTTATTTCCTGTAAGCCGCCTTAAGTTGCCGTGAGCGAGTAGGCAGCAATATAAATTTTCCATATAAAATTTCCAAATAGGTAGGTAGGTAGGTAGGTAGGTAGGTAGATAGATAGATAGATAGATAGATAGATAGATAGATAGATGATAGATAGATAGATAGATAGATAGATAGATAGATAGATAGATAGATAGATAGATAGATAGATAGATAGATAGATAAAATTGCTGCTGTTGTAGTCACCAGTTGTGTTTACTTCCAATTTGACTATTGGTTAATTTTGCTGCTTGCTTTATAGGCAAACATCCAGTCAATCATGGCCTCTGAGAAACAGGTGAACATTTTGATGAAATTGCTGGATGAGGCCCTGAAAGAAGTGGACCAAATCGAGGTGAAGCTGAGTAGTTATGAAGAAATGCTCCGGAGTGTAAAAGAACAAATGGATCAGATTTCAGAAAGCAACCATCTCATTCACCTCAGCAACACGAACAACCTAAAACTGCTGTCAGAGATAGAGTTCCTTGTTGTAAGCATTGAAATGGTCTTAATTCCACGTATCAGCCATACAAAATATTTGGAGTGATTCACTGTAACGTTTATGGGTTGGTTTGTTTACCAGAATCAAAACATAAGGCCAGGACAGATAGTCCTCGACTTACCACAGTTGACTTAGTGACCGTTCAAAGTTACAACGGCACTGAAAAAAATTGACTTATGACCATTTTTCACATTTATGACCGTTGCAACATCCCCATGGTCACGTGATTTACATCCAGATGCTTGGCAACTGATTCATATTTATGACGGTTGCAGTGACCTGGGGCCATGTGATCAACTTTTGCAACTCTCTGACTTTTGCAACCTTCTGACAAGCAAAGTCAACGGGGAAGCCGGATTCACTTAACAACTGTGTTACTAATTTGACAACTGCAGTGATTCACTTAACAACTGTGGCAAGAAAAAGTTGTAAAATAGGGCAAAACTCACTTAACAAATTTCTCACTTAGCAAAATAAATTTTGGGCTCAATTGTGGCCATAAGGTGAGGACTACCTGTAATCTAAAGATATCACAATAGTGTTTGTTGCCACCATGAAAGCCTTTTGTGATTTGAAAATCTTTTGAGTTTTTCCCCCCTATTTCTCTATATATCTCAGATGTCATGATAGGGCCGGGGTAGGCAACCTTAGCTCTTTTATGACTCATGGACTTCAACTCCCAGAATTCCTGAGCCACCATGGCTCAGCTTGGAAACTCTCCCTTTCCCCTCAGCATGGCTGGCTCAGGAATTCTGGAAGTCCACAAGTCATTAAAGAGCCAAGGTTGCCTACCCCTGTGATAGGGGGAGGGGAGGCAAAATACCGAACAGCACATTATTCATCTTTAAACCAAAGCTCAAATTAACTTTTATTATTTTGGTAGTGGTTTGCTCTCCAAGCTTGATTCAATTTAGTTTCTAAATGTTTTGTTACCCGACTAGGTAACATCCCATCACCAGAATAGGTAACATCATCGTAATGCTGTTACCTAGTCTGGTTACGAAACATTCAGAAATTAAATTGAAACAAGCTTGGAGAGCAAACCACTGCCAAAATATAAAAAATATAAAACAAGTATTTTCTATTATTCTTTTACTATATAACAAGTTGTAAACAGATTCATTAAAGAGTACAGTGTAGAGTAACCTCTTAGGATTTCTGCTAACTGCTAATTTACAGTTCATCTGTAGAGTGTCAGTCCTTGGCTTTCCTGGCACAAAATGCATATTAATAGATGAAGGTTTCCAGAGAGGTGAGACTTGAGTTTCTGTCAGGCCTGTCCTTCCACTCAGATCTTCCAGATCTCTCTTTCCACAGTATAAACTCAGAGGAGGTACCCCGTGTTACATCCTTTGATTGACATTTCTAATACCCAATTATCATAGGAGTGTTCTACAATAGGTGATAAAATAAACCACACTAATTTTAGTAAAAGACCATTCCAGAAGAACTAGATTAGGTTTATCAAATGATTTGGGCACCTCAATATACCCATAATTAAGATGTAAGAGCTAATATGTGAAGTATATAAATATGAGTGGTGCAGTGGCCTAGAGGTGAAGACACTCGTCTCCCACTTGGAAGGTTGAGAGTTCAATCCTAGGCAGAGACAGATGTTTCTCTATCAGGGAGCAAAGAGAAAAATATCTGTTGCAAACTCTGCGTAGGCGTCAGGAAGGGCATCTGGCCAGTAAATGCTCAGCTCCATTCAGTACCCCACCTGAAGCAAGGGATTACAGGGTTAGTAAAAAAAATGTGGAACATATAAATATATTTTTAAATGGTGAACAAACGGATAAACTGCAGTATCAAGTAGAGTGAGATAAACTATACATGCATTAAAAATTAAAACAGCAGCTGCTATAGTAATGTAGCAGAGTTGCCTTGACAGGCAAATCCATTTGTTTGTTTGTTTGTTGTGTCCTGCCTTTATTATTTTTACAAATAACTCAAGGCAGCAAACATACCCAACGCACCTATCTCCTCCTATTTTCTTCACAACAACAATCCTATGAGGTGAATTGGGTTGAGCGAGTGACTGGCCCAGGGTTAACCAGCTGGCTTTCATAGCTGAGGTGTGCCTTAACCACCACGCCAAACTGGCTCTCTTAATATGTTTCACAGATCCTAGAGACTCTTTGGTAAAATTTTGGAGGCAAGTTGTAATTCAGGAGAATATCTAGAAGATGAGAGTTTGAGGAAGCCTGATTGAAATGATCTTATTAAAACATGTGGAAAAAAAGAAGAGTTGGGCTTGTTTTTATAACTAAGAAAAAGTAAATTGTGCTTGAGAGTTCGGTTCCCCTGTTGTTATTGCAGAACCATATGGATTTGGCCAAAGGTCATATCAAGGCCCTCCAGGAAGGAGACCTCTCCTCTTCACGCGGCATTGAGGCCTGCACAAATGCAGCAGACGCACTTTTACAATGCATGAATGTAGCTCTTCAGCCAGGTAGGCATTAAAAAAGAAAAAAAAGAAAAAAACAGCCGTATATATTGCGACCATATCGTCTGATTGAAATGTTCTGCTTTCCTTAAGTTCTTAAAAAAACCTAAAATCAAATCAATCTTTGTTGTTGTCAGACCTGCCACAACTTAAACCTCTAAACAGAAACCATCCTTGGCTCCATTTGTTGAGAAAGGTATAGTTTATTAGAGATCAAGTGTATTGCAATATTGCAAAGCCAAAACTGAGATTTGTTCTACTCCTCCCACCCTTCTTAACAGTTTCACAATACTCACCCTGGTGTAACCAGTCAGGTTCAAACAAGATGTTTTCGTAACTGTTGGTCCAAGTGCAGTTTGGTATGATGCTCCCTCCTCCTTCCAGCTGGGTGACCTTGAGGCAGCATCTCAAGAAGGCACAGCACTTACTTTCGTTACCCCAAGGATTCTCCCCTTCATTCCCTCTCCCCACTGTTCATGGCAGTCTGTCACCGCATAGCAGTGAAGCACAAGCGAGTACAAAGTGGCACCTGACAGTTGTAGTCATTAACCAAAGTAAAAAAAAAACAAAACCAGGCTTCAAGATAGAACTATAAGTGACATTGAACAGCATACAGTTCAGTTTTTGTTTTAACTACAATAAATGTTAAAGATATAAAGTTCTACTTAAATATGAGTGATTTGGGCTAAAAAAAAAAAGCTAAGTTTGTCCTAAATTTAGAGCTAGGAATAAGTCACCCTTAGCCTATTATAATCAGGCAGGTTCAGTTGCTTTTGTAATCTTATTTTATGTGGACCATGCAGAACCGGACTATGTGTGGCCTCTGGATTAGCGTCAGACAGCAGGAGCTCTGCATATTGTAGAGCAGTGTTTCTCAACCTTGACAATTTTAAGGCATGTGGACTTCAGCTCCCAGAATTCCACAGCCAGCATTGCTGGCTGTGGAATTCTGGGAGTTGAAGTCCATATGCCTTAAAATTGTCAAGGTTGAGAAACACTGTTGTAGAGAGTAAGGAGGACAACCTTGATGGCAATATACAGGTTCCATTGCCTAGGCAGGAGGGCTTGAAGCATTTTTAAAATCCAGAACAAGATAACCTTTGTAGGTTACAGCTCAAGAAGACATTTGCTTAATTCATAAGGAAGTATAAGAAAGTGGAAGAGATGCAGCACAATCAGATTCGCAAGATACTGTTATTGCCAATCTTGCCAGATATTTTTAGAACATAGAATAATAGGGTTTGAAGGGATCTTGGAGTTCTTCTACTTCAAACCTCAGGTCAAGCAGGAGATCCTATACCAGGGCTTTTCAACCTTTTCACAGATTGTACCCCTTTTAGGACATGACAATATTCGAGTACCACCAGTGCTTAGCAAGGTGTCAAAAACTTGATGACTAAAAAAAAAGGGGGGATTTTGGGTTTTACTGGTTAGATTCATATGTTGTTGTAGAAATGGCTAGTTTATAATTGTCATGTGTCTGATTAACGAAACACTTAGAAGGACTTTCAGGCATATTTTTCCTAAAAGCATTTATTAAGGTTACAGAGACGTCAGTACAGCATGGTGGAAATGCTTAGGTCTGGCTTCTCTTCCGTTAGGCATAACATTCCAAGCATTTCCCACTCCCTTATTGTAGGGTCATGGTTCAAATCTTCCAATCAACTTGGAAGATGTGATTTACTTCCGGTTTCTTTCTCCCGGGCTATCCTTATGCTCCTCCCTCTTTCCCAGTTGCTGGTTTAACTATATAAATACCAGACAGTTCTGCATATTGTCAAAGCAAGAATATACAGTATTTGCAGCGTTGACAATAATATTATGGAAAAGTAAAAAGTTGAGGTTCAATGTTAATGTTTCCTTCTACTGCGACAGAGGAAGTCAGAAGTCAATGCCTTTTCTTTTCTTTTTCCCTTCTCCCCCTCACTTTTATTTCCCTTTTTCCTCCCCACTATGTTCTACTATTTGCTTTTGTATTTTTGTGTTTTATTCTATAATCTAATAAAATGTTACAAACTGTAAAAAAAGGAAAAAAATAATTTTTCGGTGATGGTTCCTTTGCTGAATCACTTTCCCTTTACACTGACAAATGTATGATGAATTTCTCAATATTTATTAATATGCACCACTACCTTGATGGTCAGGTGGCTGGTCGGCCCTGCATCCTCTCTCCCTCTCCTCTCTCTCACACACACACCTCCCCAAAAGCCTTTCCTCTCTGCCTCTCACACCGCTTCTCTGAGAAAAGCCCTTTCTCTTCTGACTCTTTCTCCGAAGTCTTTTTTCTCTCTCTCTCCCTCTTTCCGTCTCCCGCCAAAACTGCCTCCTTTTATAGCCTCTCCTGTCTCCACCCTCCTCCTCCTTTCTCTTCTGGGGTTGTCTCGCCCCAGCCGTCCTGCAGCTCTTGAGGACTCTCTCACAGCAAGTCCTGTGCTGCACCGTTTTGGCTCGTTCCCTCTCCCAGCTACCCTTGTCCAGGCTAGGCAGGGTCACGTACCACCTGCCAGGTGCCAATGTGCCACCAGTGGTACACATACCACCGGTTGAAAAGCCCTGTCCTATACCATTTTGGACAAATGGCTGTCCAGTCTGTCCTTGAAACCTCCAGGGATGGAGATAAGCCATTCCACTGATTAATTATTCTCACTCTCAGTCTTTCTGTGGAGTTGATTTCCTGGTCTTGTCCGGCCTACTAGGAGAGCTGACGTATGTGTAGGTTTGCCCTTGAAGACCAGTGGGCCTTTTCTTTCCTCCAAGAGTAGGTTTGGCCTGATCCTGCTAGCCTTTCACAAAGTACTGAAGACCTGCATTTGCTCTAGAGCATGGGGTTGGGAGATTAAAGAGCCTGTGAGATGTTAGCATTGTTGAATGTTTGTTGTGTTTGTTCTCGGTGACCGTTGGAGGTTTTCATGCTTTTGTACTGTAGCCCATATATTGTTAGCCTTCTAGAGTTGTATCTGCGATGTATAGGAATGGTCACATATAAATAGTATAAATAAATGGTATTAATTAATTAATTAATTTTTGGAGGGCAAAACCAATAATATTATTTAGAAGGAGAGCAATTAACAGTTCTGCAGGTTGCCTGTAGACTTGGCAGTAGAGGAGACTGATGGATTCCACTTCTCCTGAATTATTTTATTTATATATCACATTTTGAAATTGCCCATCTCCCTCACACCTGTAATGTTTATGGTTTAATAATAATAATAATAATAATAATAAAGTTGGAAGGGACCTTGGAGGTCATCGAGTCCAACCCCCTGCCCAGGCAGGAACCCTACACCATTTCAGACAAACGGCTGTCCAGTCTCTTCTTAAAAACTTCCAGTGTTGGAGCATTCATCACTTCTGGAGGCAGGTTGTTCCATTGGTTAATTGTTCTAACTGTCAGGAAGTTTCTCCTTAGTTCTAAGTTGCTTCTCTCCTTGATCAGTTTCCACCCATTGCTTCTTGTCCTGCCTTCAGGCGCTTTGGAGAATAGCTTGACTCCCTCTTTTTTGTGGCAGCCCCTGAGATATTGGAAGACTGCTATCATGTCCCCC